CTATACATTTAAATGAAAGGTTACAGCTCTCTTCATTGTTTTAAAATATATAGAGCAGGAGGGATGGTATGGTGACTCAGAGGCCCGTGTTCTGAGAACCCTCAGTGGTAGGCTAACTAATGCCTCTCCCCCATGGTGTCCACATTCTAATCCTGTGAACTTACTAACATAGCAAAAGGGGCCTTGAAAATGGGGAGTTATTTTGGATGGTCTGGATGAGTCTTATGTAATCACAGAGGTCATTACGAGAGGCAGGCAGAGGGTCAGCTAGTTTAACATCAAGTTTCTCTTAACAAGTCAGAGGTTCCTGACTTGTCGAACTCCGAATGTGCAAAGTGTTCTTTATTTCCTAGATCTGCTTTGTCAAATTACCACCCACATGGTGACTTAAAACTACAAAAATTTATTCTCTCATAGTTCTGGAAAGCAGAAGTCTGAAGTCAAGGTGTCCAACCAGGCCCACTGGAGGTCCTGGGAGAAAATCTGTTCCTCTCTTCTTCTGTCTTTTAGTGGCTGCCGACATTTTTTGGCTTGTGGCTGCATCAAGCTTTTAACTTTTTAGTTCATTTTTTATATCACCTCTTTGTGTGCCTGTCTCACTAATTTCCTCAAATTTCCCTCTGTCCCTCTCTCATAAGAATACTCCAGATGATATCAATGCTCCACCTGATAATACAGGGTAAATGCTTTCTTTAATATTCTTAATTTTAGCTGGGCTCTGGTATCATGCCTGTAATCTTAGCTACTTGGGAGCTATTGGAAGAATTGAGGTTTGAGGCCAGCCTGGGCAAATAGTTTGTAAGATCCCATCTCCAAAATAACCAGAACAAAATGGACTGCAGGTGTGGCTCAAGCAGTAGAGCACCTGGCTTGCAAGCATGAAGCCGTGGGTTCATAAGCCAGTCTTACAAAAAAAAAAAAAAAAACCCAAAAAGATTCTTAATTTAGTCACATATTTTGTCTCATAAGTAATATTCATTCTTTTTGCCACACAAGGTAATATTTATAGTAGGGTCATTTTTCAGTCTCCTCCTTTATGTTTGCCTATTCTATTTATCTAGATTTTGAGGGTTTTTTTTTTTTTTGATTATTGTCTTATTCTCTGACCTACTTTGTAAAAATCTCTGATGTAGTGGTTGTTTGTCCCATTTTAAGTTTTCATTTTTTCTCTACTGTCTTCTAGAACAAAGGTTAATGTATAGCCTGCAGACAGGCCAAATCCCAGTTCTTACTTTTTGTAGCACATTAGCAAAGAATGAGTGAACATTTTTAAATGATTGAAAAAAATCAAAGGAAGAATATTTTGTGACACATGAAACATATCAATTTCAACTTCACTGTTTAAAAATAAAGTGTTGCCAGGTATAGTTGTGCACACCTGTAAATCCAGCACCTCATGAGGCAGGAGGATTGTCAGTTTGAGGCCAACCTGAACTACCTGTCCCTATCTCAGAAAAACAAAACAACAAAACAAAATCTGAAAAAAATCAAATAATGTGTCATTAGAATCCAGCCCTGCCCATTCATTCTATATTGTCCATCTTCTTATGTACAACATCAGTATTGAACAATTGTATCAGGAACCATGTGATCTGCAAAGCTAGACAGTAAATATCTGCCCCTTTAAAGAGAAAGTTCCTTGGGAAAGGAGGGAAAGGAAAAGAGAACGACAGAGCATCAACAATATAGTAAAACATAACATCTGTGAAGGTGGAGGATATAAGGATGTATATTGATAGCTATTGAAAAATGGGAGGTGGGAGGTAAAAGGCTAAGGGAGAGCAATGGAAGGAGTTGAACGGACCAAAGTAAAGTAGACTCACAGCTGGGACACATTGAGAAACCTCTTGGAACATTGACTTAAATATTAGTAACAAAAGACAGGACTGTAAAATAGGTACAGTGTGTGTGGGGGGGGGGTACTTGTGGGAGGGAGGAGGGTGAGTGAAGGACATTAAAGTGAGGGTATATGGTGGATAGACTTCATATACTTACATGAAATAGAACAAAGAAATCTCTTGCAATTGCTTTAAGTAGAGTGGGGGTGGGTAGAGAGAGAGACAGTGGGGGGTGATGTAACCAAACAAGCTATTTGGAATTGTCACAATGAATCCCGCCTATGCAATGAATATATCCTAATAAAAAAGTTAAAAATTTTTAAAAAAGAGAGAAACATCACCAACTTCTGTTCTGGCAGGTGTCTCGACTTTGGCTTCTTGCACATAATTGGCAACAACTATCTGGGGATGAATAATTAACTTTTAATCTAATATTTAAGAATATTTAAGACTTTCATTAATGTAGAAAGGATTTGTTATGATTTCTGAAATGATTTTTTAAAACTGCAGTTCAAAAAACTTTTTATGGTAGTTTATTTATGCATCTTATTTTGTGTCTCTAAGACTATACACAGAGTGATAGTTTTGACTATGAGTTTGATTGAATTAGTAAATGCTCACCACATTCAGGATTTGACATTGGCAAGTAAGGTGGTTAATTTTATGTGTCAGCTTAGAGACCCACTTGTTTGGTCAGATGCTAGACTAGATATTGCTTTGAAGGTGTTTTGTAGATAATAACATTTCTGGGTCAGTTGACTGTATGTAAATCAGATTTATCTCCATGATGTGGTTAAGCCTTATACAATCTGTCGTCACTTTACGAATCAACACTGAGGTTTCCCATCCAAGAAGGAATTCTGCCTGAGTTTCCAGTCTGCTGGCCTGCCTGACAAAATATCTGGCTTTCCAGTCACAACAGTTGAGCCAATTTTTAAAAGCCCTTTGTCTTTGTCTCATTTTCTCTCGATATATAGATATAGATATTTCCTACAGATAGATATAGGTATAGATATAGATACTCTCTTTTCTGGAGACCCCAAACTGCTACTGTAAGCTACTCTGATGTGTGCAAGTATGAACCGTCTTCATTCTTTAGCACCAAGATGCAGTGACAAAGCTAAGCCCAGGCCTCTCACCTGGGGGAGGCGAAGCCCTTTCTGGCATTTTCCAGCCCTTCTTCCCTCATACTTCCTTTAGGCTTCTGTCTTTTACACCTCCTGAAAGGAAATATGTTATATTTAGATATCACAAAGTCTGAAATAGCTGTTTTGCGAAGGGCCAGAGGGCTTTTTCTTAGCCCAAAATTGTTTAAAGTTGTGAGAAGACAGAAAATAAAAAAAAGTGAAACAGAAGTGAATGATACTGCTGAGAAGGAGCAGTTGAGAGAAGGAGAGGGACTAGACAAATTCCAGGGGAAAGATTTTGTGAAAACTTTCCCCCTTTCCTCTGTCTGAAAACAAAAACTTTTTTGTGTACCAACTTCAGTGGAAACTAACAAGTCTCCTTGACTCTATCCCTGGGTTCTGTCATGGTACATGTGGTTTCTTTTATTCTCATGTTTTGACTCTTTGACATAGATACAAAGATATTTTGGATAAAAACACAAATAGCTGTATAATATTTAGTAGTTTTGCCTGCATCTCTACATATATAATTTTATATACTAGTAAATGTAAAATGTGTCTAATAAACTATTTTATGAAAAATATGTACAGTTGAGCAGAAAAAGATCCCTTTAAGTAATTATTCCTGTATTTCTAAATAAAGTTTATCAGGCCTTTAAGAGGTGCTAGGAAATACATATTTTATATTTTGATTCTTCCAAACCGGGTATTATATTGTCACGTTGCTCCAGGAAATGGTTGAGCACAAGTGCATTGAAGGTGTGCCCTCCATCATGCTCCAAAAACCTTCCTTCATCCCTTCTCTTATGCCTGTTTAAGCTACTCTGTGGTGTACTATTTATTTAAGTGTTGCAGAAGTAATTGTAACTTCGAGTTTTATATGCCCTAACCACTAGACATGTGTTCTACTTCTCCTGGTCGTGTTTGATAAAAATATAAATAAAATGATTGGACTATAAAATAATTTCTTCTTGTTCAGAATGCCATTTTGTTCTAAATAGCTAAAATTCTTACACTTTTTTTCCTCTGCTGGTTTTAATGCCTGCTCTATGAGTTCTAGTATCTTTGACAATGACATCAAGAGTGATTCATTTCAGCAGCAGTTCTCTGGATAATTTTTGAGTGTTCCCCAGGGAATAGGGCCTGTGATCAGCTCCGGGGATATAGGGACATAAGAAGGTGTTAGTTCTTTTTCTCAATTGCCCTGCCTCCTGGAGAGACAGTTTGGAAACAGTGTGAGTCAGTGAAGGGGACAGTAGAACCACATTCAGGAAACACAGACTGCCAGGGTAGCGAGGGGTTAGTTCAGTTCCTTGGGAACTGGGAGGACAGAGAGGGTTATAATCCAACTGGGCATAGAAGAGAAAGATAAGTAACTTTCATCTGAAGAGATCAGCATGTTAAACTGAGAAGTATTGGTGTCTAGAAGTTTTACATCTGCTATTATTTCACAAACTTAAGTAACATGCATTCAGATTTAGTAAACTAGATGACCTCTGAGGCTCCATGTTAATTTTCTAGAGTATCATTGGTCTTATTTTTTAAAGCAGAAGTAAGGATTTTTAGTAATTTATTAAAACAGTACTGTCTACTGAGACTCAGTGTATATAGTCTAGTAAGTCAGCCTCCATATCAGTGGGTTCACTTCCACAGATTCAACCACCATGGAAGAAAAATATTGAGAAAAATAGCTGCATCACGGACGTTTTTTTCTTGTTATCATCTTCTTAACAATTCAGTATAACAACTATTAATATAGCATTTCCATTGCATTAGCTATTAAAAGTAATCTAAGATGAATGAATTATATGGGAGGACTATAGAACTATATACAAATACTATACCATTTTGTATAAAACTTGGCCATCCTTGGATTTTGTCATCTGTGTGTGTTGGTGGGGGAAGGGGTGTCCTGGAACCAATCCCCTATGGCTACTGAGGGACAGTTGCAGTTATTTGAAAGATATCAAGATCTAAACAATCTAACAAATTCTGGTGTTATATAAATTGACATTTTCTTCTTCTCTCTTCCCAGCTTGTTAGTCTGTTGCTCATTGGAATTGCTGCCTGGGGCATTGGCTTTGGGCTGATTTCCAGTCTTCGTGTGGTTGGCGTGGTCATTGCTGTGGGCATCTTCTTGTTCCTGATTGCTTTAGTGGGACTGATTGGAGCTGTGAAACACCATCAGGTGTTGCTATTTTTTGTATCCTTTTTAAAAATTGGGATTTTTTTTTTTACCCCAATTGAGTTCTCACTCATTATTGAGTACTATTTCAATGATTACAACTAATTTAATGTTATCATTAGGAGTTTAATTGACAGAAAGCAAGTTCTGAAAAGCCCTATGCCTATTTATTCAACCAGTATTAGGAACATTTCTAAGGGTAAAAGTATTGTAGGCTTAGATATTCCCATTCACTCCTTGTCACATCATCAAGTACTCTGCAAGTTCAGTGTAGCCCTAATTATGTATTGCAAGTTCAGAGTTAAATCAAACTGATTCAGTGACCTCTAGGTCTTTTCTTTCTTTCTTTTTTTTTTTTTTCTGTTGCAGCAGTTTTAATAAAATAAAACAAAAAGTGACATTTCCAAAGTACCAAAACCTGCAGTTGGCTCATAGAGCAGAGCTGTTGGGTGGGGTGCCCCTTCCCTAGCACAGTACCATCCTCACTTGCCTCCTGGGGAAGCAGCATTTGGGACCTACAATTGTGCTTCTCTCCCAGAGTAAGAAATGCAGTGCCTGGGAGTTCATGGTAAGGGGACAAGCATGGGTGAGGTGCTGGTGGTAGAGACAACAGCTAGGTCAAGACTTAGGGGAGCTCAATGGGGTAAGAGCCCTGTTAGGTAACTTGGCCCACTTGGCATCGCCCTTCCCTACAGTCACCTCTACCCTGGCCCCCTGGTGAATGGGAAGGGGTGGCTTTAAGGCAAAAGGGAAGGTTGCCTCCTGGTCTCCCAACCCCAGCTCTAGAGCTGATCTGATACTGAGGAAACCCATGTTTGCCCTTGAGCCAGAGTTACAGTAGGAGAGGCCTGGAACACTGGTGGTGAGGGACTTAGCTTCAGCCCTCAGACCTTCTGCATAGGAGTCTCAATGGGCACAGCCTTCTTTCCAAGTTGTTTTAGATGACCCCGGGCATAGACTCTGAACAAGAGGGCAGCAAAGACCAGAGCCACTCCCAGTCCTCCCTCCGCTCCTGCCACCGCCTCCTCTGGCAGGCCCCTCTAGGTCTTTTCCAACATGTTACTATTTGAGAATTTAAAAGTATGTTCCTAGATTTAATCTTAAGAAGCATGCATATATTTGCCTATACTTACATATAAAAATTTTTATTGTGTTTGGGATGAAATTCTAATAGATGTGCTTTATGTATACAAATTATAATTATTTCTAGTTTTCAGTATGAACTTATAGTTACAGTATATTAGCAAAATAATAATTATGTGCATTCTTTTGGAACTTCCTCTGAGTGCCACATGTTCTATCTTCTGGGTGCATTGCTTTTAGAAGTTGTGTCAATACTTCTGCTTTGTGCCATTTTAAGAGCATTAAAAATGCCCTTAACTCTTAACTCCTCAGTATATGATTATCCTCCTACTGGTATTTATTGTTCAGTTCTCTGTGTCCTGTGCTTGTTTAGCGCTGAATCAAGAGCAACAGGTAAGGGAAGATTCTTTTCTTCTGTTTTTTATCGGTTTATTGCAGCACTGGGCTTTGAATTCAGGGCCTCATGTTAGGCAGGTGCTTTTCAACTTAAGCCACTCCACTAGCCCTCTTCTGCTTTTTTATACCACCTAGCATGAGTATGAAAAGAGGGGGAGAGAAGACCACAGCATAAAACAATTTCTTTTTGCCCAGAATGTTATTTTACTCTGAATAACTAAATAACTTGTTCCTGAGTTCTTTAGAGGGACAAATTGGAGCTTTAATTGCTTCCTTTAAGTATGATTTAGCTTTCATTGGGTAAAAGTTGGTACTGCTAAAAGATGTTTACCTGGTCCTTTACCACTATTATGCAGTGAAATGTTTGCTCCAGAATGTTTGTGGTTTCATACCAGCAATTACTCTTTTCAAACTCTAATTTGTAGAGAAATATGAGTTTCTTATCTTGGGGCAAGAGGATTTTTATCTTATTATACTCAAAAGAATTATTAGCTTTGAACCAGTGGTTCTTGTAAATTGTGTGTAAAAGGCCTGGCATGGTGGTTCCTGCCTGTAATTCCAGCTATTCCAAAGGTGGAGATTGGGAGGATTATGGTTGGAGGCCAGCCTAGGGAAAAAGTTAACAAGACTCCTGCCTCCATCAATAGTCTGGGCATATTGACATGCACCTGTAACCCCAGCTATGGTGGGTGGCATAGATAGGAGGTTTGAAATCCAAGGCCAGCCCCAGGCAAAAACGAGAGACCCTATCTGAAAAATAACTAAGTCAACATGGCTGAGGGTGTGGCTCCAAGTGGTAGAGCACCTGCCTAACAAGTGTGAGGCCCCCAGTACTGCCCTCCCCAAAAGCCATAAATAAATTAAATTTCATGTAAAGCCAAGACTTTTTCTGTTCCTAAGATAGAAGTGCCTTAATTTTTGTTGCAGATTGAGGGATAAACTCTTGAAAAATTTTAATGGTTTTATAGAGGGTATTTATTTTATGTACACTCAGCATTAAAAGCTGTAGACTCTAGCTTCATCCATTTTATGCAGGGATGACACATTTTAATGTGTATGTGAAATTTATTTCCTAGGGTCAGCTTCTGGAGGTAGGTTGGAACAATACAGCAAGTGCTCGAAATGACATCCAGAGGAATTTAAATTGCTGTGGGTTCCGAAGTTTTAACCCAAATGACACCTGTCTGGCTGTAAGTCCAAAATGTAAAGGTGTTGTTTTTATTTTTGAAATGTGTTACATACAAATGAATAATGATAAGCATGGAAGAAACGGACTTTCTGATACTGAATTGTATTTCCAAATTGTTTTACATATGCTATCTTATAATTTCATAGATATTATTGTAATATTTGCCTGTTCTCAAATACCCTTAGAGCGCTGAATATTCCAGGACCCAGTCAGACACACAGCTTTTGGTTTATTGTACCTAATTCATTCCATTCTACTCTTTCTACAACAAGTTGTGAGAGAGAAATGAAAAAATATCTTGATTTTTAAAGCATTTCAGGGCAGTGAGGAGAGAATGATCAATACTAAGTTGGGTTTCTTAACCAGCTGAACATTTCTAAGGTGGAAGACACATATAACTTCCCTCCTCCCTTTCTCCCTTCTTCTGCTTCACAATTTCATACCCTTTGTGTTTGGAATTGAGCTATTAATGGACCAATGATAGCCATTCTGGTGTCTCAGGCCTGACCCCTGACCTCCAAGCTCCGACCCCATGACTCATGACTTAGGAAGCTCATGAGTACTTGTATTTTGGAGAAATACCTATCATTACATCTCTGAATCCTGAATGCATATTCCTTCATGAATGAAGAGGCCTCTTTTTGTGAGATTGTTTCTTTGTAGGAATCTCTGCTAATTTTCTATTGTTGTGTAATACATTATTATAAATGCTGTGGCCTAAAACAAAACCTGCTTATTATCTCACAGTTTCCATGGGTCAGGAGTCTGCTATAGTTAGCTGAGTCCTTTGCTCAGAGTCTCAGGAGGCTGAAATCAGGTGTTGGTGAGGCCTGGGATCTTCTACCCAGCTCAGTGGTGTTGGTAGAATTCATTTGCTTGTAGTTGTAGGGCTGAAAGCCTTATTTTCTTGGTTGCTGTCAGACAGCCTTCTCAGGGTACAACAGCATCAAAATTAGCATGAGATTCTCTCCATTCTGGTAAGATGGAGTCTTAGAGAATGCAGCCTAGACCTGGGGGTGACTAGCCCATCTTACTCACAAGTCCCAGCCGTAGCCACCAGAGTCATACTGGGCACAAACACCAGGGGTCACCCTAGAAATTTGCACATCACTAAGAAACCATGCTCCAAATTGGATGTAGTACAACAAGACCCTAACTGTGTTTGTAATTTTTATATGTGCTTTATAAATGGACTTTGACATATCAGGTCTTTTCTTTAATTGATACAGAGCTGTGTTAAAAATAATCACCAGTGCTCACCGTGTGCTCCGATAATCGGAAAATATGCTGGCGAGGTTTTGAGATTTGTTGGTGGCATCGGTCTCTTCTTCAGCTTTACGGAAGTATGTGCAAACAATTCAGTATTTTCCCCTTTGTCATACAGAATCCTGTGTGGCAGCAAGGCATAGTATTTCACTTTAGTATGACTCGTAATTTTTGAAAGGTGGCAATGAATATTTTCCTTGAGAACTAGTCCTGTAACCAGAGGACCCCTGGCTTGGAATCAGACATTAAGTGAACCTAACATTAACTTTATGACAGGGTGAAATGTTTGATCGATTTCCTCTTATGTAAAATTTAACGACCGAATGAAATGAGGTAAGATTGGATTATCTCTAGGTTTTCTTCTCTTTGTATATTATATGTTAAATTACAGTTTTAAATTCATTTTTCAATATGTAGAACACTTACATTAATGTGTTAATATGTAATATACATAAGTACATATATATAAATATATGCTTTGAAAAATTGCCTCCCAAACCCATCCCTATTTCCTTCTGTTCCCAGTCTTGCAACACATAGATAACTACTGTCATTAATTTCTTATATATGCATTAATTTATGACATTAATATATTTATACTAATTGATACATTTTATGTAGTACATATATCTGTAAAACCACACATTGTTTGATAATTTTTAAGGAATGCTTATTCTTTCCTTGGTGTCTTAATTAAATTATCAATACCTGTGGACAGTTTTTGATGCTTCTGAGTTGGTAATATGTCTCAAGATTAAATTTTTTGCTAGGCATTGTGGCTCACGCTTATAATCCCAGCTACTCAGGAGGCAGAGGCAGGAGGCTCTCTAGTTTTAGGGCAGCCTGGGCAAAGTTAGTGAGACCCTGTCTCAGAAACAAAATATGAACAAAAGGACTGGAAGCATGGCTTGAGTGGTAGAGCACTTGCCTAGCATGCACAGGCCCTGGGTTCAGTCCCTAGTACTGAAAAAAAAAATTTTTTTTTCCTTTAACTCATGAATTTCTCTTCTAGTATTTTATTTCATGGATATAATAGTATAATTTTGTATAACTATGCAAAATGAATACATAAGATGTTTACTGCTTATAATAGCAAGTTTGTGTGCCAGTTCTTCTTCAACAACATGCTGGTTAAGTTAAGGTATATGAAGTAGGAGCAAAAGCTGCACTGACTGGGTTGGAAATCTAGTGCTTCTGCTTGTTAATTTTGTAACCTTGGGCAAGTTTCTTACCCAGTGTGCGCTTCTGTTTCCTCATCTTTCTCATGCTAGATAGTCCCTACTTCATAACTGTTGTGATAATTAAAGGAGTTAGTACATGTAAAACTTGTAGTATTTAAATAGTTCCTAGCATATGGTGGTCTACCTGTTGTTTTGTAGCTATTATTAACTTACTTGTTTTGCCATTGTATTTCATATCACCTTTCTCTATTTCTGACTTTGACCTTCCTGTCTCCCTCTTATAAAGACTCCTGTGATTGCAATATTAGCCTTCCTTGTTAATCTCTAACTTAATCATCCCTGTAAAGTCCCTGTTATCCTGCTAAGTAACATATTCCTAGGTTCTGGGGCTTATAATATGGGCATTATGCAGCCTACTGTGGAGTCCAAATTTTAATATTGTTAGAGTCTCTTACTTGGTTTACTCCATTTCAAAAGAGAAAAACATTCCTTTGCCTTTGAACAACAAAAAAGCAAAGTAACCAAGAGGTTCCAGAGTTATTTTATTGATGAATTGCTGAATAAATGTACACAAGCATTACTTTCTCTTTCTTCTTCTGTTTTTTAATTCCAGATCCTGGGTGTTTGGCTGACCTATAGATATAGGAACCAGAAGGATCCTCGTGCTAACCCTAGTGCATTCCTTTGATGAGGAGCCAAGGAAAATCTTTCTTAATCTGATCTTGTGCATTTTCTCCAATTTTAAATTAAGCTCATCTGCTCATTTAACAAAGGAAACAGTATCTGCAACACATTATCAACAGTGGAATTCTATATTTTTACTCTTATGTTTCTCTGAATGTTTTTTTCTGTTTCCATTGCTGAAAAAAAACTGAAACTCATGGTGTCCCCTGACCCTTGGTGGTTCCTGTAATCTGCTATACTCACAGTGTCCGACACTGTCCACTGTGGCCTTTCTTAGCATTTTTACCTGCAGAAAAACTTTGTATGGCACTACTGTGTTGATCATATTGTGAAACTAAATATATGCCTCACTGGAACAATTGTATGTAGCACTGTGCTGTGTAGATAGTTCCTTCTGGAAAGAGTTCAAGTTATTAAGGCCAGAAAGTAAGAGATTTTATTATGTTAAGTTCAGTAAGGGAAATCCACATTCCCAAAGTTTTTTGTCTTATTAGGAAAGATGTGTTGTGGTGACAAGTGTTAATATAAAAATGATACTTTAGTTCAGTAGTCTGTTAGGATTACACCAATGTATTCTAGATATAGCTATGTCATTAGGAGATTGTGGTTTTGTTTTTGACTTTTATAGGTAAGTACAAAAGAGAAGTGGTCTCATGAAATGTTCTAACGTCTAACATTTACCATCAGCTCTCAAAATGGGATGAATCTGAGTAATTCAGAATGTGTATCTATATAATCTTGATATTCTCTTTTTTAATGATTTGAAGTCCAAAAGATTGCATTTTTAAACAAGTTACTATCAATTAATGCATTGGCCCATGTAGCAAAAAGTAACTTTTTCATGAAATTTCTCAGTATTGTAATAGCAGCTTACCAAATCCAAGCATATTTGAATGTGATATCTCCTATAATTTGGAAGTGAAATAGTATTGTGGTTCTGTATATTATGTTAAGAAAATTAAAAGATGGAAATCTTTCTTTGTGTGTACATATTTGAATTTAAAAAGGTAAAAGAATAGTCAATGTGAACTTATTTTCTAGACAAGTGCTCTGAGCTACATCCCCAGCCCCAGACTTTTCTTTTTGCTTTAACTGCTCTTTGTTGGATTTAGAGCTGAATATTGCTATGTTAGTAGCAATGGAAAGTAGGCCATGGAAATTAACTTTCAGCACTAATGTTTTCCCAAATTCTTTCTTGAAATATTTCTACATGTTTAGAATATCTTTTTTTTAAATTTTTTTAGAAGTCATTCATATTTATTTGGGAAAAAATGCATATATTTTTCCCATTACCAACAATTTACTAATTTCTTGTCTTGCATTCTAGGTAGCAGACTTACAGACCAAGAAAAATGGTAAATGGTTGATCTGTGGAATCTTAGAGTATTTTGTAGGTATGTCACTCCCATGACTGCAACACTGATCTTCCAAGCAAATAGAACTGTGCTATTTTTATGATGTCATCCTGTGTCACCCTAACATCATTCCTACTTATGTCATAAGATGAGATCCAAAGTGACACATAGGGAGATTTTTAAATTCTGTCTTTTAAGGCATTCTGTATTTTATTTGTGCTCTAATTACAATGACTTTATTTGGGTCAACCAGTTAAAAATCAAGGTCTAGGCCAGATGACTCTTCAGGACTACTAGGATTATGAGAGTTGGTAATAAGTAAGTGATGATTAGGGATAAACTCTGTAGATAAACATTTTCAAATGCCAGCAAAGGGCCCTGTCAAATGAATCTGGCTTTCTCCTCCATAAGCAAATCTGAAAGTCATTACCTAGCTCTTTCCATGATGTTGCTTATGATCTGTGTCTAGGTACAGCGACGCTGATTCCCATTCTGTATCAGTGCCCACTGGAAAGGCCTTTGAACACTCATCCTGAGTTCTGAGTGGCCCTTCTGTAAGCCCACAGAGGCCAGGCAGATTCGCGGATACAGAAGGTCACTGCCTGTGTGTACAAGGATGCCAAGAGCATCTGATGCAGAGTAGCAGTGGTTCAGATCAGGGTCTGTTTTTCAAAGTGCAACGAATAGCTATAAGGAAACTCCAAACCTTACTTCTCCTTTCTTTCAGGTCTTGCATTTCCTTATAAAGGAACTAACTACTTAAACAATTTCTCTCATTCTCGATTTACATGTTCCATTTAGAGGAATGTTTTTGAGAACATTTTGCCTAGTCAGCCTTGATGTTAAAGATGAAATTTTAGCTAGAGGAAATAATGCTAATACAAAGGAAAAAAATCAAATTTTTTTCCTATAATTTCTAAAATTTTAGCTCACTGTGGCTTAAATTCATCTCAGATACTTTTGTTCTCTGAGCAACAATGTGTTTGGTATGAAAACCAGTTCTGCATGCCAACTTTAATAAAATATACTGCTGAATGGGACCTTTAAGAGAGGGAGAGGAAACCAGAAGTGTGGCATTTAGTTCTTAGTTGCCATGGGCCAAAGCCGCCTCCTATGAGTTTCCCAAATATTTATTTAATCCTGTTTGAGTTTATCCATTCCTTTGAGAAGACACTAAATATTTGAAACCACTTTACTTTTTTGGTGGAAAAGTACTGAGAAGGTAAGTTACATTTTCACATAGTATTTTATGGGAGAAGAACGCATTGTGATCCTACAAACATTATCCCTGATATGTAAATGGTTTTGTTTTATTGATAGGGAAGACAAAGACCCACTTTTCTAGGTTTCTGGATAGTGAGGGAATTCCTGTGAAGTTGTGTGTTTGAGGGAGAGGGTCAGGGAGAATATAGGATTTGTCATGTTGTATTTTTCTTGAATGTTCTATCACAGCTTGCAATAGTAGTCCTAGGAATAGTTCTTGAGTCAATGGGATAGGAGAAATTCATACTCCACTACCATATGCCAGGTCTCTTGTCATCATTCTCCCTAGATAAACCAGCTTTGGGAATTAATTTTCAAATGAGGGCTTGTGGGAGTTACCTGTGAGTTAGCCAAGAATGGACTTTGACATCTGGAAGGGTGAAATCACTTTTGCTTATGTTCAGTATCTTGTTTTTTACAAAGAGGTGGGGTCATAACTGAACAAGTGGCCTTTTAGTAAGTTAAGCTGTCTTGACTTGGACTTTGAAGTCTTGCTCCTTGAACTGAAGAGTGGTCTATTCTCACTTAGAACTATTTGCTGTCCCACTGTTCCTGTTCTCACCAGTGATCACTCGTAGGAGGACTTCAGGAGCTATGTAGGATTAGTGAATTCTACAACAACAACAAAAAAACTCCAAACCAGAGGTGGTCATAGATGATCATTTGAAGAAGATGCTAGTTCTTAAGTAGGTGAAAGTGGTTTAATCAGGTGTATTGACCATCTGCACGAAAGACTTTTATGGACTATTTATGTTACCAACATTTAAAAGAAAGTTAATCCTCCTCCCCTCCTGCCCAGCTATGTATATATATGTATGTATATGTATGCATATATATATATATATATATGTATATGTATGGGACCTCAGATAAAACTGAGAAAATTATTGTAGCCATATACAAGTGTACAAAATTTATCATTTTCACCAATTAAAGTGTACAGTTCAGGGTCCACTAAGTACATTTATATTGTACAACTACAGCCACCATTCAATTCCAAAACATTTTATCTTCCCAAACCGAATTGCTATACTCATTAAACAATAATTCCCCATTCCTCTTTTCCCCAGCTCCTGACAACCACAATTGCAAAGACTACTCTGGATACTTCATGTACTTGTCTTCTCATGATTTGTTTATTTCACCTAGTGTACATAATGTCTTCAAGATTCATGCTGTAACATATGCCACGATTTCCTTCTTTTTAAAGATTAAATAGCATTACATGTATGCTGTACATTTCTGTCACATTTTGTTTATCCACTCATTCATTGGTGGACACGGGTTGCCTCCATCTTTTAGCTGTTGTGAATAATGCTGCTATGAACATGGATATGTAAATATCTTTCTCCTGACATTTTCAGTTCTTTTGGGTGTAAACCCAGAAGTGGAATTGCTGGATTATGTGGTAATTTTGAGCTTAATATTTTCAGGATTCACCATATTGTTTTCCACGGTGGCTGTACCATTTTATGTTCCCCTATGTTTATTTAGATGTTGGACATAATACTCTTTAGTCTTCTTGTACTTTTTTGTTTAGTGGGATTATGCTCGGGGCTTTAAGCTTGCAAAGCAGCCACTTTACCATGTGAGCCACCCCTCCAGTCCATTTTCTCCTCTGGTTATTTTGGAGATGGGGTCTCTCAAACTATTTGCCCAGGCTGGCCTTAACTATGATCCTACTGATCTTAGCCCCCCAAGTAGCTAAATTTACAGGAGCGAGCTACTGGAGCCCAACTCATATTGAGTGTCATTTCTCTACTGTTTCTCAGTAGTGAGAGAAATGTCAAGATACGTTTTCAATCAAAATTTATTTAAGCACAAATTAAACATTGGGATATGGCAGTAGATGAATTTGGTAGAACAGGTGTTGCTAATATTTTCATGAGCTTAGAACAAGTGTATATTTGAATCTTCAACTCTTTTTAGACTATATACTTTTCCTGTGGTTGCAAATGTAGCACTGAAATTCTTAAAAATTTTTTACTTAAGTCTTTTTTTTGTTTTTCTGTTTTTCTTATTTGTATAGATGATATTTGATTTCCCAAAGATGTAAGAATTGTTTTTATGTCCTGTATCTTTTTAACATTTTGTTACTCAATTTTCTTTCTTCCCTTCTTTCATTTCTTTCTGTGACAGGGTCTCACTATGTAGCCCAGGCTGTCCTCAGACTCACAATCCTCCTGCTTCAGTCCCACAAATGCTGGGATTTCAAGTCTATTCCAATACACCTGGCTTTACTCAATAAAAATTTAAGAACCTAACACTATTATTTCACAGAAGCCAATGACAAAATTAAACATTATTTTGCTATACTGTAGAAGAAACTTGAATCATTTATAAGTTGTTCAAAATACCTGCCTTTAATCAATAAAAATTTAAGGGCCTAACAATACTATTTCATAGCAGCCCAATGAAAAATATAAACATTGTTTTTCTGTACTATAGAAGAAAAGTCGCTTACAAGTTGTCATTCAAAACACTTGTTTATAGAAGTGAAACATCCTTTTTCTTCTTAGTTCTCAGAGAGCTTTCTAAATGAGCTTTTCATTTTTTAATTTTTTTTGTGGTGGGACTTGGGTTTGAGCTCAGGACTTTGCACTTACAAAGCAGGTGCTCTACGACTTGAACCACACCTCCAGTCCTAGAGATTTCTAATGGAATGTACGTTTTTCAGGATGTGTAAGTTACCTGGTTATGAGAGGAGAACTCATTCCCCTGTGATATTTTATCTTAGGATTTCAATGTCATTAAGTCAACAATGTGTCCTCAAAACCCATCAGTGATAGGCATAACTGTGAGAGATAGAAAGCACTGAAAATATATTATTTGCCCTGGGAAAATTAATGATGCCACAGGGTCTGTTCAGGAAAGGAGCTATCCAACAAAGTTAGTCAAGGCAAGCAATAGATTTATATAGACCACAATAGTCCAGGGACCAAAGAAGTCAGTGGGGCTGGGTGGTACAGCAGTTCCATACAACAGTGAATGTGAGCTTAGATATGGGATGAAGAAATTAGTGCACAGTTCTAATTTTTGTTAGGCTCAGTATAGAGTTTAAAGTAAGTAGAGCTGCTTTTTTGCCTGATGTCCATACCCTCTCACAACTTTTCCAAAACATTGGTGACCTCTGATCTCTACCTCATCCACACATCATCACTGCCCTGCCCTTTGCTCATCTCCCAGACAGTCACATGTTGGAGAAGAACATGAAGCAATTCAAATTGAAATTATTCTAGGCCAGTATCAATGACAGGGCCAAATTCTAAGGATTTCTTTAGTGTGTTTAGTGGTATAACTTTTCTTCAGCTGATGCTTCCAATAAATTAGTCTTTTCAAGGAGAAAGCTGTCTGCTGGAGGCTTTCACTGAGCCCATTAACTGGGACACACGCTACCTAAAATTTAAGAAGTTTCTGGTCAGGGTGGGGAGGGTTGTCTCTGAGTAGGGGCCTGATTTCTTGGGATGCCTTCCTGCATATTTTTCCACACTTGAAGCATAAGCTGTTTGATGCTTGTCTTGAGTAAGCTCAGCCTACTCACTGAGACCCTGTAGTGTGGTGACATGATAACTTTATCTTTGGTCTTCATTATTTGAACTTGAGTTTTGTGTTGAGCATTTTGTGTGTGTCCAGTAGTACTATTTGTTGAAGGAACCAAACAGCTTTTCTGTGAAAGACCAATTTGGAAAAAAATTAACTTCAGTTTGAGTACCCTCAAGAGGATTTATTTTTTAGAAAATCATGGCTCACTATAGTAGATAACAATATTATTTTCATGCATGTATACCTGAAACCAAATGTTTTAAAAATAGCTGTTGTAACATTCAACCATAATCCAGTTGGTGTGTCCACCAGCATGTCTGCATTCTCCCATCTTCTAAAATCTCTGGTTCCAAGTCTCACGACCCAACACAAAGGGAAGAGCTTGCAGTTTGTTTTCCTCTACAATTCTGTCTTCAGCAGCTTGAGAGCTTTCTTCATGTTGTCATACACTGATGTGGGAAAAGGTAGGACAGTCAACATGTCACCAGAAACTATACCAAAAGCTGGAATAAACCTCCAAACTTCATTGGTTTAGCAGGGTGCTTTTTTATAATAGGGTGAATGGTAGTTGGTAATTTTACTGTAAATTTTTTTTCTGAGGTTATGTGAAATGGCTTTTGTGACAGTTCCCTAGTGTACTCATTCCTTCTCCAACTCCTTCATCTAAAACAATCTCTTCATAAGCTCTAGTATCAGCAAAGAATTCTGGCTAATTTAGAGGTAAAATTTTACCTCTCCTGTTCATAAGGAATACTTGACAGATGTGTACAGCTACTGCAAATTATTTTAGTAGAAGATGAAATATAAATTATAAAGTGCTTTATGTAGACAAATTCTTTTAATCCTCATAAACCTCTGTTAGTACTTCATTCTTAGGTGATGAAAAAAGGCACAGTGAGGCTGAGTAGTTTGCTCAAAATCATACAGCTAAGTGATGGAGTTACTTCTCCAGAGCCAAAACTTTTTTTTTTTGATGGTGGTTGTTAAGGTTTGAACTCAGGGCCTCACACTTGCTAGACAGGCACTCTACTGCTTGAACCATGGCCCCAGCCACAGAGCCCAAAGTTCTAGATTTCTATCCCATCAGCAGCAATTAGTGAAAATGAGGTTATGTTATCTACTGAAATAAGAAGTCCACATGACAGGCACTGAACACTTGTTTATTCGTTCCTTCTACAAATGTTTATTAAATGTTTGTTCTGTAAGCCATAATAATATTACCTGTGTAGGATGCTTGCCTTTAAAGAGTTAAATCTTATTAAGATACATGCCATTATCTCAAGAACATACATGGACCGAGCTTCCCCTTGTCCTCAGAACTACCCCTGGACATTGTTAATGGATCATAGGAGCTATCCTGCTGGCCAGGCACAGCCTCTCCTTCCCAACATAGCATCCTAAGTCATTGCTGTGCAGTAGAAAATTCCATGGTGATGAAAACATTCAGTGTCTATGTACTGAGCATTTGGAATGTGTCTAGTATAACTGAAAAACAGATTTTAATTTTTAAAAGTAGTAATGTATCATTAAATAGCAATGTGTGGCTGATGACTAATGTATTGGTTAGTGTGGGTCTAGGCAGTCACTATAATTGATCAGAACTGGTCCTCAGGATAAAACCCCATTTTCCTGGGACTAAGTAGGTGTCACAGCTAGGTATATCCTCCCAAGTAGGCACCTCAGCTACATTACCTCTCCCTCCTCCCCTCACCTCCTCCTGTCATCATAACTACTTCTGGGAAAGTATTTTGGAAATCCTTTGGGTCATTTTGCCTACTGATCTTTAAATTGAACCTGAATTCAACTTCAATAAGATGAAATTATTTCACTTGTTATTTGTGGAAAAAAATTGAAGCATGCAGTTAATTACAACTTAGGTTCAGTTCTGTGACTGAAGGGGTTGTGCGTTAGTGTGCCTGAAAAAACATAAAAAGGCAGGTAATGTGGTCACAGAATCTTTCCAGAGGAAAAGATACCTAATCTAAATGATTCATTCTCAATTGAGGTTAAAGAAAAAAATACTGAAATGGAAAGAGTATGGTTTGAAGACACAAGCTCTGTTAGGGTCAAACTACTTCTCTAGGGTCCCCAAGCAGAACCCTCTCCCACCTCACCCAGGGCTTCTCATCCCATTGCTATAACCAAGGGAGATGTTTGATACCTGGACAACAACCATGTTGGAACTGACACTTACGTAGAGCTGTATCTGAAGGTTCATAAGCGTAGAGTCGGTTTGAATATCTTCCAGTGATGTCTGCTCTGACTGTCAGGGATGGGTCTGCAAAGATAAAGCAAAAGTGAATGGAATGTTTTGTTTCCAAATAATCCCTAATGGAGTGAGGTGGCCTGTGTATACATGTCCTGTGTGTCCCACTGGATGGAGCCCACTCCATCTACTTTGCTACCCAGCCTCTGCAGTTAAAAACCAGAAGAGAGCTGGAACTTTCAACAGCTGTGCAGTACTATTTGTGGAAAAGGTTTTGAAACCTGCTGTTCTAGCTAAAGTGACCTGAAAGCAGTATAATATATATTTTGGGGATGGTGGTTTGGTTTTTTTTTGTGTGTGTGTGTGAAAACAAATATTCTCTAATACAGAATTATTGTACTTCAGAAGTGATTATGAGGAAGTTGACGTGTTTTATCAAGAGCAACCTAATCAGAAACACATCCAATGCTGGTTTTCATACTTTTTAAAACAAATTAAAAAAAAAAAAAGCAAACCCTTAAATACAGCAATGCAAATAAGTGTGTACCTTGCCATTCACTGTTAATTAGCTGCATTTTAAAAATGCAGATTTAAGAATTTTATGTATTTATCTATACATGCAGCATTCCATATATGTTTAAATCTATATTGTCATGTTTTATATGTAACTTGAAGTGATATAACTAATGAGAAAAAGGCTATTTAAAGAAATATAGTGCCTCCAAAAGGAAAGTAGGATACAGAGAGGTCTAGAATCCTTGTCTTGACCGGGGTGCTCGGGGGCTAGGGGTTTAGCTCAGTTAGAGTGCTTGCCTAGTGTTCACAAGACAGTGGATTTGAATCCCAGCACTGCCACTGCCAAAAAGAGGAGTGATGGAAGGAGCCTAAAACATACGACCTGAAAGCAGAGAGGAGGAGGATGTGTGAGAACCATCTGTGTGTTTGCAGAGTCTGTCACTTCTTCTAGAGTGGACTGTCATTTTAGAATGTTAGGCTGGGGCCAAGGAACCTAAATTACCAGAAGCAGACATTCATTTGTTTAACAGAGGCCTCAGGAGATACTCCTGCCAGGTGTGGAGGATATGCAGGTGAGGTCTAATCTTGGTAATAATTTAACATGAGAAAGGATTTTTAACACTCAGGAAAAGGAATTCACACGTAGGAATCACCAGGAGAGCTTTAAAAACTATGGCTGCCTGCACCCCACCCTCAGAAATTCTGATTTAGTTGGTTTGGGGGGCAGCCTGGGCAGCTTGGTGTTTAAAATCCTCTGGGAGATTCTAACATATGGCCAGAACGGAGACCCATTGAACTTCAGGAGCAAGCTGCCATGGAGTTGGTGCTTGTGACTGAAGGCAACAAATGTGTATTAATATGGGCTCAGAAATTTTACAGGAGACTAACTTACTAGACAACCTACAAATTCCTTTTCAGTGTTAGGATTCTAAATGTTCTATATCTTGACAAAACTAAAGCTATAAAATTAATACACTAGTTCAGCCTTCCTACTTTTTTCCCCATCACTTTTTTGTCTGTTATATACATTTGAATTAATTTAAATTGCCTATGTGAACCACTGGATTAGAATGAACTCAGCTATGTGTTGGATATGACTTTGGTCAAAGACAAACTCGTATTTATTCAGTCACTCAACAAACCCTTATTGGGAGCCTACCACAGTGTTATGCTGGAACTATAAGTATGGACAGAAAACAGATACAGTCTCTGTCCTATTTTTAGATAACAAATAAATGCAAAAGTATAGCTGAGGATTGCATGGCTAATGAGAGAAACACAGCACTTTCTTCTCAGATATGTGTGGCAGAAGATTAAAAGTTAAAATGAGAAGGTAAAAAAAGTCATCTTTGGAAAATATATTGTGAAACTTAGAGGAATGATAGAGCTTGGTGGTGATCTTGACCGAGGGGAAGAGGCAGATGAGCGTGCAGAGGACAGAGAATGGATGTGACAGCACTTGCACTCTTCAGAATGGATTTTATATCATTGTATCTCCACTTACCCACAAACATAATCCTGGGGACATACTGCCCATCAGGAGAAAGGTGTTTGTCAGTTGTTTCATACTGAGATTTAAGGAAAAAAAAACAAAACACTTTTAGTTTGTTTTCTCTTCAGTTATTTTCAAAATTGTGATGTGCCCATTATTGGGTCAGGAACCTAAGGTATCATAAGGAACATCTCTTTCACAGAGAGTTAGTAATACAGATGGGGAGACAAGTTATATGCATGAAACAATAAATAAATCAGAATGTGATAGAGAACATGAGAAAATGGTGAATGGATGCAATACACAAAGAGCAAAAAGTTCAAGAGGGAAGAATTAGGACTGAGTTATGATGTTTGAGGAAGACATCTTGGATGAGGCAGGAGAGAGATTAATGAAAAAAGCAGAAGACATTGTTGGAGAAATTATAGAAACAGGATGTTTTAGCATTCATTTCTGTTTAGAATTCCTGGGTTTAGCAAAACATTGCTTATCTGTAAAATATGCATAGTCTATTAAGAGATATAGACAGGAAAATGAAAATTGAGGATATAGCAGGGAGATGTTTCGGTGGGAGATACACAAGTTCTGTCAATGCTTAGAGCAGTGTCCATATTCCCCTAGGACTTTTTGAACTGGGTGAAGAGGAATCTCAAACAATGTAGGAAAGAAGGCCATTCAACGTATGGGGAGAAGCATGTACAAAGGGATGAAGAGGGGCATATCTTTTTTTTACACATGACTACATGCTTCGGGTAGTGGTGGGAGAAGATGCTAATCTGCTCCAGGGAACAGCTCATGACTGGCCTCATGCACTATGCTACAGTGTTTTCATTTGTTCAGATATAGTTAAGAACCACTGGAGGGATGTTAGAAGAATCACCACAGCCCCAGTGTGGTCTTTAGAGTGATTACTGTGCACCATGAGGGATTAAGTGGGTTTATGTTGTAGGGAGGGAGCCATTTAGTAAAGTGCAAAGTGCATAATTCATACAATGAAATAGCTCCTGAGTTTATGAGGAAGTACGGCATCAGGAATGTTTAGAATTGAGAGGTACGGAGCTTCTTGACAGTTGCAGGTGAATAAGATAGTGCAATCTAGAACACTACCAGTTCTATTGAAGTGGAGAATAAAAACAAACAATTTGAGAAGCCTGGAGCAAGATGGTAATTCACTGTGCAACATACTGAATTTGAGCTTTTTATAAGGTATTGGACAGGTTGGGTAGGCAAGTTGAAAGTTGTGGAATATTTGGGTTAAGATGTAGGAAGGGGTAGGAAGAAGAACAGGAGCCTATGAAAGGGAGGTGAGAAAGAATTATTGGTGTTGATTGCTCTTTGAAGAAGCCAACCTGTGAAGAGTAATAGAGGCTCAAGGGGAAATATGGTTAGGTAGAGTTGTTTCACTTTTAGAAGGAAAATGGATCCCATTTATCTACTGACTAGAGAGAATTTGCAAAGACAGAACACTTGAACACTGTGTGGGGGGTGATGGTGAAGTAAAGTGAGAAAGCATGAACATAAGCACAGGCAGCCTAGAGAGATATGCACAGCTGGAGAGCTGCCTTTTTTTCAGAGGGAGAGGAGAGAGGAATTAAAAAGCTAGGATTGACAGTTGACTGTTAGGAGGTCTGGCACAGGAAGTAATTTGCAAAATACAAAATCCTCCAACTGTTACAGCCACAGATAATACCCTGCCCACAGAGGATTAAGCTAGGGTTATTAATTACTGACTAAAACATAGATAAGCCAGATAGATTATTAAGAAGATGAAATATATTTTCCCTTTTAATCTGTGAGATGGGATATTTGGAAGAGATCCCAGTTAATGTGGTATGAATAAGATATATATGAAAAGTGAATCATGCATTTCAGATAACAAACCACAAGGGGATGTTGGTGACAATGAAAAGTAAACTTACAACTAGATTGAGGAGGACAAACTGTTCCGCCAATTTCTGGATTTCTTTATTTTCAGCAAACACTTTCTTTAAAGCTACAATATAAGGAAAAATCATTCAGCATTCATCTCAGCTTTTGTTAAAACCTTGCTCTCTGTTATATTTTAAGTTGAATTGTACTTTACATAGAATACTTTGCCCTTTCAGTAAGTGATTTATTTATAATATTGACAGCCTTTGCTTTCCTGTTATTCATTCGTTCATCCATCCATCCATCCATTTATAATTTTTTCAAGCCCATATTTATTGAATGGCTATTCTGTGCTGGTTTTATGCATTAAGAGATTGAAGCAAATAAAAAAGCCTGTGCTATTTCCATAGAGTTCAGATGCTTGTATAGGAGACAGGCCATAAACAAGCGCACAAAAAATAGGTAATAATTTCAGGTGGGAATATGTACTTCAGAAAAAATAAAGTAAAGCAGGGATTTAAGAGCTATGGGTTGGACAGAAAAATTACATCGTAACAAGGATCTTCATGAGCCCCTCCCCCTTTTGGCTTGGTACTGGGGTTTGAACTCAGGGTCTCAATCTTGCTAGGCAGGACTCTATCACTTGAGTGACAACACCAGCCCTATTTTGTGTTGGGTATTTTTTGAGATAGAGACTTGTGAACTATTTGCCTGGGCTGGCTTCAAACTGTGATCCTCCTGAGTAGCTAGGGTTATAGACTGGAGCCATTGGTGCCCAGTTTCATGTATTCCCTTTAAAACTGTATCTACTCCTTTGTATACTATCTCACCCCTATTCTCAACACCTATAAACCACTAATCTTTTCTAAATTTCTGTAATTTTATCTTAAAAATGTATAGAATTATATATAAAAAATAAGAGCTCAGGGTTTGTCAGGGAATATCTCTCTGAGGAGGTGACATTGGGGTGAGGGAGTAAGTGCTCCATTTTGGGGATAGGTCACTAAGATTATTGGGAGCAGATCACTCTAGGCAAAGGAGCTACAAAAGCAATAGCCTTGAGGTGGGAATGAGCTTAGAAGTTCAAGAAGCAGCATGAAGGCCAGGTTGGATCAGAGTGAGCAGGGAGAACATGGCAGGGGAGGGATGACAGCCACTGGCCAGATCATGTCCAGCCTTGAAGACCAAGGTCAGGTTAATTTGACCTGTGATGAGAAGCCACTTAAGTATTCAACTGATAGGATCTGAGTTGTGTTTAGCAGTCTCACTGTGGCTTTTGTGTAGAGAACAGACTATACTGTGGTCAGTTAGGTGACTGTTAACAGTTTTCTGGATAAGATAAGAGCTTGGCTTGGACCAGGTCAGTAGCATTGAGGCAATGGAAGTGGTTGGATTTTGGACAAGATCCAAAGCTGAGTGCAAAGTGAAACTGCAGCGCTCTTTGTTCAAGAACTATTAAGAATTTTAAGACAGTGACAGTAGAGTCTGAGCCCTATGTGACTGCACAGGTTGAATGTCCATGAATCTGGTGCTAAGTGGAGGGTCTATTTTGAAGGTAAAGCTCAGAGTATTTGCTGATGTATTGCATGTTGGATAGAAGAAAAATTAAGAAACAAGATGAATTCTAGAGCTTATTCAAAATATGCACTAATATCACAAAATATGGAAATATTTGAAATTACTTAAAATGTTTTTCCTGCATAAAATATTCTTATTCAACTATGCCATATCTAAGGGTATGAAGATGAGTGATCCGAAACCTGACGCTACCTAAAACCTTATAAAGGAAATCCTATTCGGAAGAATAAGTTACCTTGGCTGTGTGGGCATTCATCCAAGTGATGAATAATCATCAAGGGTTTGTTGCTGTAAGAGACAAAATTCTTACTTGGTAGGAGTTCATGTTTCACGAGATGTCACTAGATGGTGCTCTTGCAAGCTTGAGAGGGTTCTGTGAAACCCTAGTCCTTACCTTGTCTTCGATTTGTATAAAGCTTCTTCATATGTCTGGGTCCAGATAAGTTGATCACCCCAACCTAAAACAAAATGAGCCAGCATATTTATAACTATTATAATGTCAGGCCCAACCTGTTGAAAAGCAATGGTAAAGGGAAATATGTTTCAATACAAATATATACTTTTTCTGAAGAAAGTGTAAATAATTACAAATGATAAATCTAGATCCCCAAACATGTTTAGCACACACCTCAGCACCATGAATGAGGAGATATTCCCCAACTAAGTAGAAATTGGAAGCGAACAAGAAGCTGACCCCTACCTCTGGAGAGGGTCTGGGGCAGTTTGGGTCGAGAGTCTTTTGTGTCCTTTTTAGCTCCAGGTTTGACTGTGGTTTCTTTAGCCAAAGTGTAGGAAAGGGCCACAAGAAGCAAGAATGCTGACACCAAAATTTTCTCCATGGCAAATCTAGATTGCAAACAAAAAAAAAAAAGGAATTAGTAGTTGTCAGAATCTACAGATGGGATCTCAGTAGTGTAATACAATAGGAACTGAGGCTCTGCTGAGATGGGACACCTGAGATTGGAGTGAAAAGATATTTACCTTCCATGGGATTTTCCCAGGAATATGTAGAATGGATAGCTATCTGTCTCTTCCCTTACCTACCTATCAACAGATACAGATACATAATAGAAATAGATAAATATATGTGTTAAGGAAAGAGATAACTAGTTAAGTGTATAATCTCCTAGCTAAGAAAATTGATCCTTGAAATTTACATTTCAAAAAGAAAAGTATTGTAAAGTAACTTAGCGGTTACCTCTTCTTTTTTCACCTCCCCAACGTAAGAGATGAAGAATCTAAAGTTCAGAGAGATGAGGATTTTTGAGATGGGTTTAGGACAAGAGCTTCTTGATCTTGCCATTTTGGAGAGCTGGCTCCCATCTTTCCTTCCTGCAACAATTACCCTAAGCATACACACTTCTTTAATCTTCAGTTAAATTGAGAACATTGCCATCAAAGAATGAGATAGGAAGAAAATGATAGATTCTGTCATTTAGAACCTGCCAACTTTGACACTTGACTGAAGACTTGCATCCATACAACTTTTCTCCCTAGGGTAACATTTACTCCAGCTCTGTATTAGCTCTGAATTCACTAGGACACATCAATGCTAACTTCCTTCTAGAGAAACATTCTTTGATTCTGTTGAGACTTTATATGTAGGTGGTTGTGGGCATGTAGTTTAGTGCACAGAAATATTCTGAGATTAACACAGAGAAATAAACCCCATGGTGCCTCTATTAACTTTATTTTTCCTGCCAGGTACCAGCTGCTCACACCTGTAATTCTACCTACTTAAGAGGCAGAGAGATCAGGAGGATTGAGGTTCAAGGCCAGCCTGGGCAAAAATATTCATCAGATCCCCCATCTCAACAGCAAAAGCTCGGAGTGGCAGTGCACACCTGCTATCTCAGCTGCTGCAGGAAGCAATCATGGTCCAGGTGGGCCCCGGCAAAAAGTGAAAGCCTATCTCAACAATGACCAGAGCATAAAGGGGCTGGAGGTGTGGTTCAAACCCTTTCTGAAGTTCTAGAGTTGATTACTTGGAAAATGTGAAGCAGATGCCTATGAATAGGAATGTGAATGGCAAGATGAGTTCCCTGGATGAAGAGGGGAGGAGGAAGCTAGCAAGCTAAGTGAGTTGCGCTGCCAGGAACTAAGGCTATCCAGGGACCTATACCATGGAGAGCTAGGCACTTGGGGGTAAAGCCAACAACACTAAAATTGCTGAGAAAGAAGTATGAAATTATATCATCAAACTTAATATTGGTATAGGTTTTGAATTAAGTCACATAAACTCTGCACAGGAAGCAGAATAGACTATCATTGCTTAGTGTTTGTAAGAAAAAAGTTTCTCATGATTTCATAACTTGATGGGAACTTTGCTAAACATTAAACAATTGAAAACCAAATCCAAGCAAATGCGTTCGTGCCTTAGTATGTACCCACAAAATTTCTTACTAAGAAAATACATAAGCAAAACAAAGAAATATAATTTCTTCACTTTCTATACACAAAAAGATATGATGTGGAAATGCTAATGGCAATTTTTATCTTCTAAAGTTCCACAAAAACAGCTCAATTATATGACAAGTCAACAATACCCAGCCCACTTAATATGAAGACTTTTAAAAATATTTAAAAATCAAGAACTTTTGACGAAAATTATTATACTTCTCAAATATTATACTTCTACTGGTCAGTTACTTTGAATTTAACAATATGCATTTGTTTTTATTTATAGCAGCATCTATGTATATTTGAAAAAATAGTATTAGATCATAGCAAAGTACTCTGTTTAGCTTATTGACGCTTCTTATTGTTCAAGTGGGTATTAGGGTCCCTTGTAATAGCTCTGCAGATTACAGATTGGAAGTATTGATGTATCACATGTGTTTTATGGCAGGAGGATACAAGGAAGGCTAATATAACTCCTGCTGTACAAACATCCTGCATGGGGGTGACTTTCTGAGATTCACTGTACTGAATTGTCATGGGACAAAGAGACACTGCTCTGCAAACATCCTGCATAAACCCCTCAAAACCACTGCTAACCTTGAAAGATATTGAAAATTTGAAGACACATGCACTGACACTCTGAAGCCAGTGCTTCATACTGGTCACTCTATCCCTGTATTCTTATCTTTAACAAGGAAGGGAGTTGCAGGAGGTTTCAGTTTCTATGTGCTTCAGCAAAGCAACCAGCAGTCTCCTCTGACAGTCTAGCCCACGAATTTAAAGATCTAAGGTGCAACAAGAGTGTGCCAGACAGAAAAAACTATTTCTTGATTTGCAATAATATATTCTACTGAGGCAATTTGAGCTGAGTTTTCAGTAGAGGAGGCGGTGGATGTTTGCTTTCACCTGTGGGAGAAAAGCAGAGCATTTGATAGTGACTGACATGGAAATTCTGGGTCCCTGGTTTGAAAACATTTAGATTTAACTTCTAGTTCCCTAAGGAAGAAAGCATCACTTTGTGAACCTGTGCAGGAATGTAAGACTCAGTCAGCTCTAGCTAAAGAAAGGCCCCAGTGAGCCTTTGAAGGAGATTCCTTTATTCCCCCGCCATTGCCCTGGGAAACTTGCATCTCTTAATCTGTTGACTGATTGTAACTGCATAGCAATTAGAGGCCAAACCTTACTCTAGCAAGTGTCATTCCACAGCTATTGTCAAGAGCCTTACCTGGATTTCCTCACCCACCTGCCTTGTGTGAGCCAGTCAGGAGGAGGTCCAAGCTTCTGAGTGTGCCAGCTCAGCTCTGAGTCTCTATTTATGTACCTGAGCACACCTCAATCCCACCCACTAATCCTGTTTTTGCCTGTTGCTAACTCCGAAGCAAACTTTCCTTTTCCCTAGCAATTGTTTTCCCTGGGTTAAAGAGTTCTTTGTTTTAAAAACTAAGATTGCAAAAGGCAGGCTTTTCAGTGTGCATGTTTTTAACTGTTTGTGAAAGTATATTGTTAAAAGGTTTAGAAAAAATTGGCAGGCTGCCAAGTCCAGGTAAGGTTTAAATGAAGACATTTGATTTGCCTGAAGGCTGATTTGTCTTTATGTGATTGGATGGAGTTTGTGGTTTGTAGATGTTTTTTTTTCTCCCCCTTGGGCAGGTTGCCTTTATGTAGCTGAAAACATAGAAGATGATTCACAATTCTAACCCTTACAGTCATATAACCCGCCATTCTCTATTATCATACAAATTATTTTTCATGATATACTTCCTTCCTTTTGGAAAAAAAAAACACATCAATGACAGGTATAAAAATACAAAACAAGTAGTCATAGAATATTTAAAAACTGAGGGAGTTGTTGAAAAAGGACAGCCTAATCCCATGAGCTTATAATACTCATCCAGCTGATAGATATATTCAGTGACTTCCTCCAAAGAATTCAAAGGCATTTCATAGATATTTTCTTATTAATGGCAAATTTTCTTGTTTGGTATGCAGGAAACCACTTACCTTATTTTTCAGACCTAGAAACTAATGTCTGCAACTTTTGTTTCATTAAAAATTACCCAACTAATCACCAAGAATTTTAATACTGGAACTCAAAATTTCTGTTAGAAAAAATTGATCTTGTGTTTTGCTCATAAAGCTGTAAGCAATTCTTTAAAAGCTCAGAATGGAGAAATCTTGAAAATTAACTAATGGGATGTAAACCTTATAAAAATAACCTTCTAAAATAAGTTATTTCAAAACATTTAAAGTGTTTATCTGTCTATCATCTATCTATATATCTATCTATTTCAATAGAGCCTTTAATTCTGTTGGGCTAAATAGTGGTTCTCAAAATAATTGAATTTTCTTCCAATTCCAAGAATTTATGAAATAATTTCTTCAGGAGTTTGGCAGAAAACAATTTTTTGAGATAAACTCTTAAAACAAGAGACTCTCTTATTAAGTCCGGTCAAGTGGCTCAAGTGGTAGAGTGCCTGCCTAGCAAGTATGTAAGCCCTGAGTTCAAATCCCAGTACTGCCAAAAAAGAAAAAAGAAGTCTTACAATAGACTCTTACTATTTAGTCCTTAAAATATTTAATTCAGTTCCCTCATTTTGCAGATGAAAATAAACAAAGATATCACAAACTTAATGACTGCCGGAAGGAAGGCCCAACACCTACATTAGGCCAGAGCTGTTACCAAAGCCCAGGTTTTCTAGTTCATCGTCTGTGGAAATGGGAAATTGAGTGGCATGTGAAGTCACAAGATTCCAGTCAGCATCCTGCTTCCTGCTCACTGGATGACATCGGAGATGTCATTCATGTCTCTGAAATTTCACTTTCCCTATCCATAAAATGTTGATAACATACATTACTTTTGAGTATTGAGTGAATGAAGGAAAGATAAAATATTTGGTGTGTGAGTTTGTTAGAACTGCCATAACAAAATATCACAGTCTGGAAGCTTTATACAACAGAAGTTATTTTCTCATGATTTTGAAAGCTAGAAATCCAAAATTGACCTGTCAGCGTGGTTACTTTCTTCTGAGGCCTCCCTCCTTGGCTCGCAGATAGGTATCTCTTCCCTGAGCCTTTACCTGATCTTCCCTCTGTGCCTGTCTCTATCCTAATTTCCTTTCCCTTTTTCTTCTCTCATCTCTCTCTTGTTCAATGGCTCATTTTAACTTATTCTTAAAAGACCCTGTCTCTTTACACAATCGCATTCTTGGTATTTGAGATTAGGATTTCAACATATGAATTTTGGGGGACAGAACTCATCCATAACACTTGGCAATTGAAAACATCTCTGATTTTTTATAATTAATTATGATATAATAATTATTTCATTGTACTCCCACACATAATCTCATGTTAGTAAAAACCCCATAGTTGTCATAGTAGTTAGTAAAGGGTCAGCAAGGAGGAAGTAATTACTAGAACTCATCCCACACACAATGTGGTGACTACAGCACATCTTTCTTGATGTGAAACAACTTGAGTTTTATTGATGGTACAAATATCTACAGTGGCTGTGAGATAGAGTAGGAAATTTTTGTATGCTATTAAACTTCATCACTTTTAATACTGCTATCAGGTGATTAGTCTTTAGGATTTGCCTGATATTTATAAAAATATGTCATTCCTATGTACATATTTTTTATAATATCTGAGTATGATTCTTCTGTGTAGAATTTGATAATTTGTTGTTCAGCCATTTTTTTTTTTGGGCAGTACTGGGGTTTTAACTCAGGGCCTTGTGCTTGCTAGGCAGGTGCTCCACCACTTGAGCCAACCTGCCAGCAGATTTGATAATTTGATATAAATGTTTAGTAAATAAAACTAAGCTTGGTACCAATGATTCTAACAATGGCCATAATTATGAAGACATTACACCTTTGTGTTTTAAAAGTCTGTGTCATCATAATTGTAAAGACTTTTATTCAGCATAATACTATGTAGGTTGTTTTCTATTTTTGACAAAATCTTGACACTAATAATAATAACTAGCAATTATTTAGTATCTAGTATGCACTGGGTACTTGACTAGACTGTTTCATTTATTCACTCATTTGTTCATTTCTTCCCCAAATATTCAGCAACTCTATGCAGCAAATATTATGCCAGGCATTAAAAATATAATGATGAAAAAGCTAAAATTATACAGATGAAGAAGTTCTAAAGATGAAAAAGTCAGTTATTGAGGTAGGTGGGCACCTCCATAGGTAATTGCAATTCAGGTGATAAGATATGCTGTGGGAAAAGCACACATGACATTGCTCCTGCCTTAAGGTTACTTACAATCTGAATAACTAAACAGAACACTCTAAAAATTAACCATCCACATGAGAATAGCATGCAACAAGTGACGTCAGTGATACAGACAACAGGGATTGTTATTTTTCAGAGGAAGTAGAGAATGCTATCCACTAGAATGCTCAAATTGGTGGTAGAAAGATTTCCACATGGAGACAGGGATAAAGAATTTCAAAGATACATTCATGGGATATTTAATGGACCAGCCTAGCTGGAGTGAGATCCATCTAAATAGCTCAGAGGTTGGTACCAGGATTGAAAAGATGTTTGAGTCCATTTGCCTGGGAATGAGAGATATAATGTTATTCAGAGTTTAGACTTTATCCTCAAGAGGAAGTATGCGGTGATTAAGAAGGTAAGCTGTAAATTCAGATTGGCTTGAATTCAAATCTAGCTATATTACATACTTTATTAACCTAGGAAAATTACCCAATCTCTGTACTTTGATCATCAAACTTGTAAAGTGGAATAGTAAGACCTACTTTATAGGATCAGTTGAATAGTACATAATATGTGCTTAGCACATCACAAGTACTCAAAATACTAGCAACATAGAATGTATCCCTTGCTTCTCTGTAATATGATCATTGAGGTCTCAGACTATTAATTATGTGACAGCAAAATCATTAATTACTATTTGATAATGACATATCACAAAGCTTAAACTTTTAACACGATTTTGGCAAAAAAGTTAACTTTTCATTATAATAACCTCACCAGATTTATTCTTTAAAAAAAACAAATAAGCTCAAATGAGTAGAAATAAGAAGCACAAAGCCACACAACCAATGAGTAGAGGGAGGACATAAAATTCCCCACAATTGCTGATAATCAGTCCAATATTCCTTTCAGTCCATCAAGCTGCCTCCTGACATCAGAAAGAAATGCAGTAAATCCACACGTGCCTGTGAGTCCCAAGTAACTGAACTGGGATGAATCTTCTGTCAAGGAAAGAGCAAAGGAGTTCTTATAGTCAAGTGGTTTGCCTCAAAAGATGTTTGTGAAAAATATGTGTCTAACTGAGGACCAAATTACTGAGCATTAAATTTCCACATACTTGAGCATAAGGAGAACTGACTCACAGAGATTTATGTTTTGATATATGGAAAGAATTGGCTGTCATTTGAGCTCATCTTCACATCTGATGGGGGAGCTTGTACACAAAACTAATTCCAGTTTCTTGAATCTTAAACAATACTGTATGAAAGTTGAAGATTTAAGACTTATTCTTTCTAAATCTACAAATTTAAGTTTAAAAACTGCAAATTTTGTATATTTGTATAAAGTGTACAAAATGTACTTTCTTTACAAAAACCATAGATTAGTATAAAACAGCCACCTGTTTTACTTATTTCTTAGTGGTTAGCCTGATTTCAATAGATTAAATACAGTAGATTACATAATAAATTCATAGAATAAATCCAATTTTACAAACTTCGTTAATGAAATTCCTTTAAATATTTTAAACTATATTTATAATTTTATTACCACTATATCAAATTTGTCTAAAATGAAGTAGTTTTGCAAGAATAATGAGCAAAACTTTTCTAAGCATTTTAGCAAGTCTTCCAAAGAACATAAATAAAAGTCTCTGGATGGTGAATCAATTGTATTAATGATTTAAATCTTGCTCCAGAAATAGTTTATACTTTTCTCATTAAAATGTTAATTCTAGGTACATCTTTTAAGTTACAAGACTAATATTGGGATTGTCCCAAATATAAGCTTCTTTTAGACCTTCAAATACTTTAATGATAAATACATTAAGGTTATCACAATATTTCCAAAACTTATTATGAAAGTCATCGTATAATGGGTGGAGTAACTCCATCAACTCTCTTCTTATTTCCATTCTTCCCAGGGGCAATTGAAGAAGGAGCAGGTTTACTACTCAGGTCAACCAAGGTCCCTTGGGCTAAAGTTTGGGACCATGACATGGGTCAAGCCTCAGCCCATGCTTTGGACCCGTGAATGAGTTGGACAAGGCAACAACTACTGTGAAACACTGGTTGGTATATATATTGATAGGCCTGGTATAAAAATCAATTACTATAAATAAAAAAACATGAATGTAACGAAAAATCAAATCCTCTGGCACAGTGAATATTACCTTTTGAGTCATGAATAAGGTGACTGCATTTCCCAGTTTGCCCAGAACAGCCTCTATTTTATACCTGTTTCTGGGCATGGTAATTAAGAGTTTGTCTTCTATTCTCAAAAATATGATTTGAACAATAAATGATATAGTCTTGATGAAATCTACTGACTTTGTAGGGAAAGTGCATGTGCATGATTTTACATTTATTTCAGAGGATTTACTTAAATATTAATTCAATACAAGGATCTCTTTGCAGTGTCCATAGATCCCGGGTTAAAAACTTTTGCCCTAACGTTCAAATTTCTGTGCTTAGAAATTCTCA